GTAGAAAATGATACTGGTTTAATAATATGTACTACACTAACTTTAAAAATATTTTGGTCTGGTGATAAATATATGCCTTTCAAAATACTTAGCATAGTTTTGGTTTTATCCAAGGCTCTACCTTGTTATGGGAGATTATTTCTAAACTGTGGTGTCATCATTATCAGTTTAATCCCATCTTCTGGGAAAAAAAAAAAAAAAAAAGAAAAAAAGGGGCATATCTTTCAAACAGATATGCCTTTCTTAGTGGCTGCAAAATTGAGAAGCCTCAATTAAGGAAAATTTGGCCTTTTTAGACTGGTTTCTGCCCTCAAAAGAGAAGAAGGCAAAGCAGAGGTCTTCGGGTGGCTGTGCTGTTGCAGGGTGACCCTCTCACAGCACCCCGAGTTTCCTTCGTTATGACCGGGAAAGGTCAGAAAAAATGAACCGAAGGAAAATCACCAGAGACTGAAGCCTATTCTCTTTCCCCCATTAAATTATCCTAATGTGGCAACATCTAATTTCTCTTCGTTTACTTTTTCTATCATACTTGGCAGCCTCTTTATTCTGATTCCTATCAGCTCATAATTAGTTGCCATAGAAAGGACTGCGATGTACATAAATAATCATAAGATGCCAGATAAACTGTATCGGTTTCAAATTAGTGTTGTGCGCGGTGTCTTGCTGGGCGCTCTAACCTATTATTTTTAATTACAGTTTACAAAGCAAACGAGCTCCTTGCCCTTTGTGCGGCTCTCCCGGCCATGCGCTCCCGAGCCCGGCCGGGAAGCGCGGCGTCACCTGCACGTGCCAGGAGCCCCGGCCTCGCTCTCCCCGTTCTGGTTGCAGAAAGTCAGAGAAATCCCTTCCTCCCATTTCAATAGGTACACTAGGTATTAAAGACACACACAAAACAAGAAACAAAAAAAAAGAAGAAAACCGAAAAGAAACAAAATTCTTGCTCCACAGAAGCTTATCTACCCGCTCCATTTCTTAAAGCTCTATAAGACATGAGAAGTGGTTGTTACAGAAGGAGAAAATAAAAAAGAAAGAAAAAAAAACCCTCTGGAAAGCCTTGTGTCTCTGCAAAATAGGAGCAGCGCCCGGGGCCGGCAGCAGAAAAGCTTTCTTGCAAGGTGCTGGTGACAACCGCCACACTAAAATTGTTGGTCGGGGATATATGGGCAGTTTTGGCACAAATCCCAATTGCACTTTACGTAATAGGTCTTAATTGGAGTGCCTAGGTTAATTTTGTACAAGAGGTTTAAATAGGCAAACAAATATTCTATACATATCTCTCTATATATACATGAATATATGCATATGTCAGTATGCAATATCCTTATCAAGATTAGGAAGTGGTAGCACTCAGGAAGTATTTTCAGTGTCATAAAGTAAAACCAGGCAAGTTTTGGGTGCTGCTTTTAAATCTCACTCAGCTTTTCTGTTTGCAGAAGGGACTAGAGGGACTCAGAGGGATTCGGGTCCTCCCTGAACGCCAGCCAAGCTTTTTGCTGTAAAGACGGAGAACAGACACCAGGACTTTGGTTCTGAATTTTCTTTTTTTCTTTCCTTTTTGTTTTAAGAGGTATTTAAAAGAAATGTTAAAAAAAAAAAAAAAAAAACCCTCAAGACTGTGGCTGCAGATTGCAAAAGAGCAAATCAGTGGCCACTGGACAGGAAGGCAGCGTCTTTAGCAGCATCCCTTGTGTTTCAGCATCGCTTGGCAGCTCCAGGGCTTTTCCCGCTGCTTTTACAAGACACATGGCTTCACAGTCAGAAGTACAATGAGAAAAAATATATATATATATATATTTACTTTTTTTTTTTTTTAATTTCAGCAACAAGGAGCTGCCACCACCGTCTACTGCGCCACGGCGCCGGAGCTGGAGGGCCTGGGCGGGATGTACTTCAACAACTGCTGCCGCTGCCCGCCGTCCTCGGAGGCGCAGAGCGCCGAGACGGCCGCCGCGCTCTGGGAGCTGAGCCAGGGGCTGCTGCAGCAGCGCCCCGGATGCCGGGGCCCCTAGTCCCGCCGGGGCCCCTATTCCCACCGGAGCCCCCAGTCCCGCCGGCTCCCCGTGCCCGGCATCCTCGTGCTGCCCCAGCACAGCCGCGCTCAGCGGGAGGACATGTCACCCAGTGCCACGTTTCCTTTTTGTTTCAGCATTTCCTCTAGCTGCCCGGCTCTGAGCATCCATGGGGAGGTGGTTTTTTTTTCCTGCGCGGGTTTTATGGGGTGCGGCAAAGAAAAGGATGGTTAAGCCAAGAAATCAGTCCTGCCCTTGGCTGCTGGCTGCAAATACAGCTGCGCTGTTGAGAAAAAGAAGACGCCTGAACAGAAACAGTAAATTCACAGCTAATTAAATATTTCTGCTTTTTTTTTTCTTTCCCTTAAAAGATTATAATAAAAGATATGTTGTAAACTGTTCCCTCAGTACTGTAGGGTTAAGCAAGATCGTGTTGTCTCCTTAAGAACACACAGGGTGTAATAGGGGGGTTAAGTGATGTTGCCATCCATTTTTCAGTTCACAGTTTTAAGGAGTTCTTTTTTTGTAAAGTTCACAGTTTCTCAGTTGCCCTGAGACTGTATCTTATTCCAAATCATTCAGTTCTTTAAATTTAATAAAACAACATGCTTGTATATAGTCACCTGAAGAGTAAGTTTGTCTCATTTCGGCAAATGTCTTAGTTCCATTTTTTTTTTTTTTTAGAAAAGAAAACTTGAGGAAAAATAAAGAGCTTCTTGTTGATGCCAAGAAAATGCTGTTCTTTTTTTCTTGTTTCTTTCTGAGTTCTTTTTTTTTTTATTATTATTTTGTGCTTTGTAGCTGTCTTCATGTCAGAACGTTGTCCTAAGCCATCACCAGTCCAGCATCGCATTTTCTGTAGATAAAATATAAGCAAATAAATAGAAGACACATTGTTAATATAGCATTATTTGGGCCACCCCCCCCGTTCCATTTATGATTTATTGTTAACAGATTGTCTGCTATAATAGTTCCATTTTGCAATGCGTAATGCATTTGATTAGCTCTTGAATAGGTGTTAAAATCCACGAATGTATTTATCAGGAAGAAGTAGCTGAAGTATCCTCCTATGGAAAAAAACCTCCAGACCTATATCTATGTAAAGAATGGTAATATCACAGTAGAACAGCTCTGTCTTACAGTTATACATGACTTTTTAATTTTTTTTTTTTGTGTTTTATATCTAGTTCTAATTTATGAACAAGATCTTCAGGAGGGATAGACAGATGATGAACTTGCTTCTGCTTTCTTAGTGCATACTCTTATGAGACCTCAGCACCGGAGGAGATTGCCGACCCTGCTGCAAAGGGATCTGCAGGGATTCACTCTTTGCCAGTGCATTTTTAAGGTTAGCACAGCTCTGCATTAGCAGCCCTGGGACTTTATGGAGTTGATCAGGTTCCTCTAGTTCCTATTCCTGGTTAATAAATGTTTATTGACACTAGTGTAGTCGCCTACCAAGATTTTTATTGTCACCATTTTCTCCACCCCCAAATGAAGTGATTTTCCTTCTCCTTTCTCCTTTCCCCTTTCCCCTTTCCTTTTCTCTCCATCATCTCCTCCTCTTTTCTCTTTCTCTCTACATCTCCTCTGTCTAGCTATCCAGCAAAAAGAATTTCCTCTCCGTTTTCTTTCACAATAAACCCCAGCACAGAGCTGCAGAGCATTTGCTTCTATTGGAAACATTTGTGCAAATAATTTCCCACACACAGCTTGGTTGCAGTGCAGGAAGGAGGTATCAGGGACAGTAAAAGAGAAACCAATTGAAAAGAAACAGACTGCAAAACCTCCATTTTAATATCCTGGATGTGCCCAAGTCATTGGCTTTCAAATATATTTTGGTGTAAAAATTGGCACATTTACAGTCAGCCAGATTTATATATTTGACCGGCTTCCATTTTTCCAGTTAGCTTACCTGGAGCAATGTCCCTGTGAACTTCCCTATGAGGCAGTCATTCCAGGCTTCATTAAAGGTAGTTAAGTGAGCCTATGTCTAATATTAAAGCAAACCCATTAACCTCAACCAATATCATATCAGCAAAACAAAAAGACCTGAATAAAGCAAAATAGATCATATATTTATAGTTCCTGGAAAAGATCCAGCTGACTTGCATCAAGCTCCAAACAGACCTAACAAGCCCTTGCTGCTCACCCCATAAGGAAAGGCGTGAATGGAGGGAGGAGGTGTCCAAGACCCTGCAAGAGCCTCCAGCGCTTTGGGAAGCCGAAGATGTGGCCCAGGACGTTTCCTCCCCGCGTGCTCAGGGGCTCTGCGTGTCCCAAAGCCAACAGTTCCCAAAGAAATGGAACGGTTGGTCTTGGTGAAGCTTTTAGGGGGAATGCAGGGGCCATTTCAATGTCCACAAAAGATACCACAACTAGGCCAGGTTCTCTCTTTATCCTTTATCTTCGAATACCCGTAAGACAAACCGCAGCTAGTCTCATGCCAGGTAGGTATTTTTATTCGAGAAAGTCTTTCCAGCAACACTGCAATAATTTGACTTATATCAAGGCTGAATAACTGCTTGTCAGGTGTTAAGCTCATGACCTTTCAAGCCAAACACACTTACACTAACCAGTTTACTATCGGAATGATCAATATCTTGTAAGTGAGAAAGTCTAGACAGATCTTATTTTGTCCTTCGGTATCACTTGTGGCTTTGGAATTGATCATTATATGTGGCTGGGGAAAAATTGCCCATACCGCTCATGTTCTGTATTTATCTTGACAGGGTTCGCTAGGATTATATTTTCATAATCTGAATGGCAGTGGAACAGCTGCTCAAGCTCCACAAGCTCTTCTTATCAGGCTAAATTTAAGCTACAGTAATTACCCTTCTCCTTATGGATCCCTTTTTTTAAACAAGCATGTACTATATGTAGAAATGTGGCGGGGGGGCAGCTTGGGAAATTATGCTAAATTTTGACTCATTTCTTTCCATTTGCAGTGGCCGATGTAGGTTTGCATTTTACCCAAAGGCAAGATCCTGCCTAACTTGGGATGTGCGGGCCCTACACCAGGAGCCTCACCTGTGCGGGGAATATGTTGTTTTATTAGCAGATTTTTTTTTTTTTTTTTTTTTTTTAAGTCAAAGACACCTGAGACTGTGGGTGTCCGAGGAGGCGCAGGAAAGCCAACGCTAATCACAGCACCTTAGAGTTTTGTGGCAGTTTGTCCCAGGGGATCACCAGGATCTTTCTAGCCTTGTTTTTCTACGCAGCTGGGTTTATGTGATCAGCTAGCCAGCCCTCTGCATCCGCGGAGGAGAGCTAATGATGTGCAGCGTGTAAAGCGGTGGCTGCTCTCATCCATCTGTGCCGAGGGGAGGGAACAAGAGGGGGCGAAATCCTGGGAAAGTGGCTTGGACAGCTGGAGATAACGCTGATGGAGTCATCCAGAGGTGGCTGTCAACATAAGCGGTGTTGGCACAGAGCACAAGGGGGTTTGATGGGGGGTGCGGGGTAGGGGGGACGGTTCCTGTGTCCCTGCCCGTGCACTGCCCATAATTCCAGCCCCACGTCCCTCCCTGGCCAGGGAATGTGATTTTAATCAGGTCGTGGCTGGGCGCTGCAGGGAAGGACTGCGGCGAGGCCAAAGCCAGGCACACCGATCCCCTCGCAGGAGCGGCATGAAATGAGAAGCAGTCGTTTTTATTAATTCTGCTGTGTTTTATAGACCTTTTATATGGAACATTACCCATACAACTTCACTATCTATCTAATTAAAAAGGGCTTTTATCAATTTGCTGGGCAGTTGCTTATACAAAAAGAACCAAAAAAAAAAAAGCGCGTGAAAGAAGAAGAACTAATACTATATGTTTTTTGATGCTCAGAAAAATCATCTGTTTTGAAGGGCTGGATCACCCAGTGAGACCACTTTGGGTGGCCATAAGAAACAAGAAGAAGGGAGGGAGGGGAGAGGAAAGGTTCCTGGCCCCCTTGCTCTCTGTGAAGCCTCTGCTTTACATGGTAGACCGGGTTTAACAAGAGTGGAGTCTGCTGAGCCCCCATTGCAGGGACCGAACACCAGCCTTCTAGCTCCCTGCCATCTAGCCTGGACCACAGCATTAATTCAGCTTATGCCTCCAGCCAGGTTTCCAAGCACAGGCACTGGAGACACAGGCGAAATTAATTTATTAAAAAGCAATAGCTTGATAATGCCTGTGATGATAGAATAAATGAATCTATTCAATATCTTATAGAACAGTTGGCAATCACATAATAGAGCATTCATTGTCAATTTAGTAGCTTGTCTCATTATACTCTGCAAATAGTAGTAAAATGGTGTATTATTCATGAACCAACATGCTTTAATTACTTTTAGTGCACATTTATTTTTTCAAACATAATATGAGTTAGATTCATCTGTAATTGTAACCCATTTTATGAATCCTGAAATTTCCTGAGATTACAGCAATCCAATGCTGGAAAGTTTGTAACATCTCCATGCAGTAGGATAGTACAGCCTAAAAAAAAGCCACTTTCCAATATCCAAGTTGGATTATAGCTGATAATATTTAAGTTAATATGATATTGCTATTTGACACTTCCATTGGCTATAATTCCATGTTTCATCATCTGCTAGGGATTTGGTTTTTTTGCCATAAAGCAAATCCTTAAGCCTAATATAGTTTACTTGTTAACTTTACAAGGAGACATCATCTTGTTACCACGCCCGCCTTCCCTGGCTCCCCACACTTTGGCTTAATGTGCTATGAAGGGCTCACATACATACACCCAAGGTCAGAGAAAGTCCACTGCTCTTTTCAGTTAAACTATTTGCAAAGATTTATAACTAATAAACTGATCTTGCTTATAATAACAGATTTCCTGAAGTCAGTCTTGCCTGTACAAAGCATAATGTTGCAGCACATTGTTGGTATTTCTGTGTGCATGGGGAAAAAAAAAAAAGCACAGTAAAATAAGATGACTTAAAAATGCAATTAAAGTGTAAATCTTTACACCCATTAACATTTAGGGTCCATTAGATTACTTTGTCTTTTACAATATTAAATGCTAAGATGTTTTGCTTTTG